ATTAGCTCTATTAGCTGTCCTCTTTCTTATCTCAACCCTGTTTCTTTGTTGTCTGCCTGTGTCTTGTTTGATAACGTCAAGTTGGAATGTTTTCACTTTCTCTCAACTCTAACATAGACTTGGTCCATACACTTGTGTTGTCTTAATAGACATTAGTGTCAGGTTTACACAGACATTATGTGACTATAAAACATACTGTTATTGTAAGCACTGGTACCATACGTCAATAGAGGCCATTGTTAGGATATGACTGTATCATGTGGCACTAGAGGATCCAGAACGTTTTGAGTGGAGAGGGGCGATTTTTTCCCCAAACCTTAACCTCATGTTAACCCTTACTTGGCCTAAGTCTATGTATAAGTCTAGGTATAAGTCTATGTATAAGCCAAGCTTTTTTTTTTATTCATTCTTAAATGCACAAACACATTTTCCTAACGTCTACAGCTCACTATGTTTCCTAGTAAAAAGTCAGGTCAAATAATGAGAATACAAGTGTGGGATAGGGCCGATACTCTGTTAGTGTCAATTGGGGCAGATGTGACGTAAATGTTTCTTTATCTATCTATCTAATTCTCTTCATGGCTCAAAAGTTTGGACACGCAAGAAGAAGTAAAGGAAAGATCACTCTTTTATTTCTGCAAGTCGGACGAACTACAGATACCCTACGAAAAAAAAGAGGGGGAGGAGAACAAGTAGTATTCACCCGTCACAAAATAGCAGGGCCGGACCGTTGTGACCAAGAAAGATCACTTTTTTTTTTTCTACCTTACGTAAATTTAGCGGCGAAAAAAGAGGGGGGGGGGGGGGGGGGAGAACAAGTAATCTACTCTGTATTTACCCGCCACTAAATAGCAGGGCAGGACTTAACCATTGTGGGGCCCAATGCGAAACGGAATTCGCGGTGCCCAATTTGGGTAGGGATACGGATAATAAGTGAAAACTAAAAGTTTATATTAGAAAATAAATACGTCTTTGCATTTTATTCATTCTTTACTAGGTACGTAATTACTTTACGAGCCTTGCGTTTGCGAAGTCAAACAGGATATCATAAAAATCCCATGCCCCACATAGATCACGCTCAATAGCCAGAATTACCAAATGTTTCAATCTATCTACGAGAATTGTTGACCTCAAGTAATTCTTCATTAGTTTGAGGCACGAGAAGCTTCTTTCACCAGATTCCAAAATTATGGGATAATGCCGTTTTTTTATGCGCGTAGGATTGTCGTTTCCCATATTGAATGACACCCCAAAATGACAATTTTTGTCTATATATTTCAGGAGATTTGTATGAGTTTTCTAAAGAATGTGGCATTCATACCTTCCCACCTTGTCTTCTACATGACTAAATTGAAAAGCTGTAACGAATTCAGAACAACGCTGCACGGATAGTTCTACGCAAAACAACACGCGATTCTGCTACCGCTGTCTTGCGGACACTCCATTGACTTCATGTGAATGCAACAATGGACAACAACGTGGTCGAATTTAGTCATCAGCGCCTCTACATAAAGAAATGCTCTCGAACTTGAGTGAACTGACAACTTCATATGTCCCACAGAGAACCCTGAGTGTCATAAACGCCGTTAGTTGTGCTGCGTTTTCCCCTCAAAAGTTACGACGTGCAGCCCGTGCAGAGAGGGGAGAGCAGGCTTTTAAAGAGCAAGTTGACCAAATATTTGGAAATCGCTCCCCCTCAGACTCTATGCTTTAGGCCTACATTTACATAGAATATTAAGACCTACCTGTTCACACTGTATTTAGATTAGTTGACCACTTATACTCTCGTGTTTAGGTCTGTTATGTTCTCCTAGGTCAGATGTGGTCGAATTACGATCCGCGAGCCACATGCTGCTTGCTGGAGTGTTTTATGCGGCCCGCAGACACCTACAGAAATCAGATGTGCCTACAGTATATCTTATGAAAAAATAAAAGTGTATTAAAAATAATTCTAAATATCTCAGTAAATTATTGAAACTATCTCATTATAAAAAAGTTTCAAGTAAACGAAAATTATTCCTACTGCGTCGTAATTTGCCCACCCTGCTATTGGGTATAGTTCTAGTTCAATACACTCAGTCTAAGACACAACCTATTGTCAGTATTTATTCAATGCTATGAAGAGCTGTGTTGAGTGCTCGGTATGTTTGGAACAAGATTGCAGATCTCTACTGAGAAAAACTGTTGTTGTTTTTTTTAATAAAAAATATACAACAATGAACTCTAAACAAGAAAATTTGCACAAAGCTGCATAAATATCGATAATATTGTCTCCAAATGTAGAGCGATAAAACTTATCAGGGTCAGGAGTCTTCATCCCAGGCAGTTCCGAAAAGTACTTGAAGATTGAGAAACATAATATTCCGATGTATCCGCCGGCTAAGCATGGGCAAGGTAATGAAAAGAATATAAAATCTTAAGGAAGAAACTTGTATCCTCTTTGAAGGACATTGAGGTGACCCAGTTAAACTTTTTCAAACAAGCCTTTCCCATTTTTCCAGGCAAGCACGTGAAAACAGGTTTTGTCATTTTCCTTTGTTGAAAGGTGAAACTATTTATAGTGAATAGTTTATGTACAAGACGTATTTGGATTCCTTAATTGTGAAATTTATAAAAGCAAATTTTAATACGTCAAGAAAAAGTTTTCAATACCATACTTTACATTAAGTTTAATTGTAGGCCTACGTTTAAGGTGAAATGTTGTGATGTAAAAAGACAATAGCAACTTTTTCTTTTCTTAAATCGTTAAATGGTTTCAGAAATTGCTAACTTTTGTTGTAATTCTCAATTGGGATTGTGAAAAAATGGAAAGTGAATGTATAATACAGTATAACTATGAAAAAAAAAGACATTAAACACAGTTAACTATTGGATTTTTCTAAGTTGTAGTAAACCTGGTGGCGACACAGATGGGGATAGTGGTGTGTTTAGACAGCCGACGCAAATCACCCCAGGCCAGCGCTAGACGAGTTTCGATGGTCAGTCAAGACAGTTCGGGAAGGATCGGTGTTGTGAATAGAGCTCAGGAGCGTCACGAGGAATATCGTCAAGTGATCAACCAGAGTGGTCGAGCGACGTTCTGTCCAGTTCTAGAAGGCCATTATGGATCCAATATAAAGAGCGGAGATGTCACAGTCAAGTGGGTTCCAGTACGACGGCTCAGTGCAAGTACGGGATGAAGCAGAGAGACCAGTGCAAGAGTTGACACGGCGGTACGGTTGTTAACGGAGACATATTTGAACAATATGTGCTACGTGCTACCAAGTGTACAGTATTGGCTGATATTTATTGAACATTAAACTATCACGTTATTTGAAGCCCTGAGTTGTCAAGTTCTTTAAGTTGGTGTTGTCATGTGGTGCAGTTTGCAGAGAGCCTGAATAGTGAAATTCGTTACAATATATATATATATATATATTATTATTATTATTATTATTACTATTCGTTTCAAATTAGGTCTAACTTATAATGCATACTAATTAGCTTTTTCTCTTTAAAAAACTACTTGCATAACTGATTTTAAAAATGAGATTTTTATATAGAGAGAGAGAGAGATAGATAGATATATATATTTGTGTGTGTGTGCGGCCCCCTATTCCCAGAATTTTATTTAATGCAGCCCTCGATACAAAAACGCTGCCCACCCCTGTCCTAGAACCTTGAACCTACATAATGTTGATTAACGACTGTTCTATAAAAATTACATTGATCTTATTGTGTTCATACCGTTTAATGTATTAAATGGTAATAAAAAATTTGATTTGAATCAATAAAACGAATCGATGCGAATACACGTATTCAGAGCTTTATAAACATATATTAAACAAGGTTACAAAAGACAGTTTATATGGAAACACAAACTCAAAATCGGCCCCCGAAGTGGTCCACCCAGGCAGGCTTCAGAAAGAACATCCGAATGAAATTATATCAAAGACAAATGAGAGATAAGAATGGAGAAAGAAGGTTAACAGATCTGGTGTAGTGCCCCAACTTTCCCGCAGATCAAAAGATAGGTGAAAGTGAATGTAAAGTTAGATGTGAAACTGGCCTAACAAGTTCCCCTGTGGTCTATAGGGCAGAAGTTCATCTGTTTTTGTTAACGAGGGTGTCATGTAGGCAGCACAACGATCAACCGCCTTTACTTTTCCCCAACTAATGTCAGGTACCCATTAGAGCTGAGTGGACTCAGAGGCGCCCAAAGATTCCAAAGTTAAAAATCCAAGTCTTCACCAGGATTCGAACTCGGGACCCCCGGTTCGGAAGCCAAGCGCTTTACCGCTCAGCCACCCCTGGTCTAACTGTAGTCTTTTAATTGATATAATTGTTCAGAAAAATTCTCAAATTTCAATCTCTTATTCGAATCCTTTATAAAAAATACTCAATGTACCCGCAGTAAAAAAAATTCAGGAAAATGAAGTTTACAAGATTACTATTCGTTTCAAATTAGGTCTAACTTATAATGCATACTAATTAGCTTTTTCTCTTTAAAAAACTACTTGCATAACTGATTTTAAAAATGAGATTTTTCGCTTTCAGAAAAAAAAAAAGTAGCCGTTGCATCAGAACTTTGAATGGTCTAAAATATTGTGATGTCGGATTTTCAATATCTTTTCTAGTTTACGAGATCTAAACGGGACGGACGGACAGACATTTCGCACAAAACTAATAGCGTCTTTTCCCCTTTCGGGGGCCGCAAAAAAGTGATAATTTTATATTTTGCAACTTTAAAGACTTCCGACGCCAAATCAATGTTAGAATAGAATTTCAGGAATTTTTATTTTTTTTAACATTCTTATGTCCCCCCTTCCGTTAAATGTCGTAATAAAAACTTGTTCAATGGCACATTCTTAATTTAAAAAGGGTACGAAATATTGCAGCTAAACTAAAAACATTTAATATATCCATATGTTATAGTCTGTGTGGTTTGTGTCTGTATAGTCTATAGTACCATTTATGGAACAATTATAATCAGATATAATAGTGTATAAAAAATAATTTATATTATGTATTTTTTATTCTTTATTTCACTTCAATATGAAATACAAGCTAAAGAAAACATCATTCCAAAATGTATCACTCAATATATACATAAATACTCTCTCTATAAATAGTATCACAAAAAGTATACAACTTTAATTTATTTTTACAAACACCTCATTATTGACTTGAAAGTTTGCTTATAAATAGTTTGTTTATTTTCCCTCTTATAGTGGGTATATTCTGAACTAAAATCTCATTACAGAAAGTAAAAAAACTCCCATCATGAAGAAGGTCTGTTTCCATTACAAAATAATGCTAGAATACTAAATAAAAGTAGATCTACCATCCTCTCCCCCTCCATCTTTTTTTCTCAATCTGCTAGGGGGTGGCACAGCCAGCACTGATATAATGTAGACATTTGTCATTCAACAAAAATATAACATGAACTTTAACCTTATCTAATGGGTATGGCTTTTCTGATAGATACATGCCAGATAAAAAATAAAATAATAATAATACTTATTCTTGTCAAATTAAAACAAAACATTGAATAGAAATAAATACATTTAAAAAATAAACATTTCAATCTATATTTTTTTCCTATAAATTTGAGACTTTAACGGACATTATAATATCCAAAATCATTTCAAAATAACTAATAAGACTAATTTTTCTTTTGAATTTACAAAATAAAACAAAAATTAATGATCTAAACAAAAGGATGCTATTTACTGTATCATACAATCAATAAAACTTCCGTGGATTAAAAAAAATGACTTTGGCAGTAATCAGTAGTATTGTCAGTAATCTGTAGTAAATGTGTTGTCATTAATCAGTAGTACATATAATCATCATATAAATGAAGAGCTATACTAAACGTTTAAAAAAAACTGTTTAGAAAAACAACAAACATAAAATGATTTGCAATGATCACTTGGACCATGTAGTATTAGTTCAGAAAATAAAACTCCCATTGAAAGAAGGCTGAAAGTTAGAGCAACTTTTTAAAGCTTTATATGAACCAACGTGATAATTTAATTCAAATTCAATCTATTCACACACTGACTATGTAAGATGAATGTGTTGAGGACAGCCTCAACGGTAGCACAAAAAAATGTCCATGTTAACTTTATGATGTTTCCATTTGAAAGTCTGATTAGAAATGAAAGAGAAGTTGTAACTGATTAAACCAGAATCCACCCTGAGTTTCAAGCAAGCAAACATCACAACATTGCACAAAAACTCTTTGGTATGAAATAATGTTATAAATATTGATGATTAAATGACATGGTAGGACATGTATGTGGCAGTCCTAGAGCTCACTCCCCTCACAATGAAGCAGATTATAAATCTCTTTAACAGCTGGAAATATATTATGGATTTTATTCTGTACAAATTGCTATATAGTTGTTTTAATAAATAGTATTGATAACAATTTCAATAACTTAAAATCACATTTAGATTAGTTTACAGTATAATAAATGTGTGATATAAATAATTGATTTGCTTCAATAATAGTACTTTGTAATAGAACTTTGTTTTATTCATGTGGAAAAATACAATTTAAACAAGATATTTCTTTTTATCATTGTCCTTTCACAATGTCCACTATACAATGATATTTGTATGGATATTTGTTTAGAATAACTCTATCCATCTATCTCTCTTAATGTATATATATATATATATATATGTTGAGACATTTGAATAAATACAAAGAATCAGACAGGACAGTCTTTAAAACTACTTTGAATAGAACTCAATTACTTGGACATCTCATTAAATTATATTATATAACAATATGATCCTAGCACTGTATAAATCACAGTTTCTATATTACAACAAATTTAAAGTTATTTATCCCCAGTTGAGGTGTAATAGGACTGAGCAGTTTGGTATATGGTAGAACATTCAAGTGAAAGACAAGCCAATCAACTTCACCGGTCAGTAATGAAAGTTAATGGGATAAGACGAAAATAGTCAAAATTTTTCATTCGGAAACTTTGAAAACGGTTTTTAAAAATATGTCAAGCATGAGAATAACAACATATTCATTAAGCATCCATGGAAACTGAAATTTTAAAATAAGTTTAAATGGATTTTTTTTTGGTTTCTTTCTTCTGATATTTAATAGTTAGGAATGATATTTTTTAAAAAAAGTTTGAAAAACTATATAAAGCTTTGACCTAGAAAAAATAATGGAAAAGAAATCTTTGGTTTAATGCTGGCAAATAAAAATGTGAAAAACTTGCAAAACAAACACAGCAAATGATTCATGATTAAATGTGACAAAAATGTCAACTATTAATTTTGCAATACATCAACAATAATATGCATTGAATAGACTTTATATTTACAATCAAACCAACCTACTAATTCAGTCACTAGTGCATTGTTAACCTTACAACAGTATGAATCTGAAAATCACTGCAGTACAACACTAGGTAATCACATTCTGTCTAAACCATGGCTTAAGTCATGCTTCCTTTTCAAACACTAATGAACATTGCTAGAACATGGAAAAAGATGCAAGGGAAAAAAATTCTATCAGTTTCAATCCGCTTCCAGAAATTCATTTTTGGTACTTCATGTATTAATAACTGGTAATACTCTTCATTTACCTAAAAATACTTGAAAATGAAATGCATATTAATTACCAGATAACATGATTTACTGTAGTCATGAAATATGGAAGCATTACAAAAACCAATAACAATGATATTTTCTTAATCCAACTAATGACTTCAACCTTGTAGACTTGTACAAAACTTCCAAATTAATGAAACTGAACACATAATAAATATAATATGACTATCTATAAAATAAATAATGTTTACTCTTAGGTAGAGACATCAATGCCTTATGTGTACTAACAAAAAATAATGAAAATTGAGTTTACAAATCCTCGTCTTATTCTAGCTTAAGAAAGATGGAGTAAATTGTAAGAAATTGTAATAAATCTTTTCCAACAAAACAATTTAAATTCAAGGATTTCATTCATGACAGCAGTTTATGTTTATTCTGGAGGTTCATATCTGCTTGGGGCAACTTCCAGGGCACACTGAATAAAGGTTGTCAAAGGTTCTAAAAAAGAAATTTTATAATCACAAATATAATATACTTTTGTTGACAGTAACAACAAAGTACATAAAATTAATTAAAAAATCACTAAATATTTGAATAACAAAATGAAACAATATCATCCTTACCTAAATATTTGATTTTGATTTTCAATCCAACAAAGGGTATATAAAACAATAAGCCACTCAGAATGAAAAGTGTTGCATAAAAAAACTCGATTCTAGGTTGCTGTATAATGGGTGCTAGTACTAGGTAGCAGGATATTATCAACACCAAGACTGGCATTATAGTTGGCACCTGTAAATAAAAAAAAAGGAAAATAAAATAAGTTATAGATATTGTTGTAACCCTATTCGCAACGCAATAGGGTTAACTGTGTGTGATCAGCTGACATATGTGACACAGGTCAGTTATACAGTTTAGTGTGCTATATCGAAGGGCAAGGGATAGTACTGGCATGAACTTTGCACGGGTTATGGTCATCTGATCATAAGCCAGCGTGGACCATAGACACCGCATGTGTAAGGCAGTGCAGTTCAAGACAGGACAGCGAGTAGACCGGGACTGTTAGTCTACCATGAAGCCCATCCTGATGGGAGTCCTGAAGTGAATGTATGAGTCAAGGAAGAGATAGAGACAGTAGAGTTTATTAGTTTAGTACAGTGATGTACAGTATAGCATTTTTAGTGTTGATGTATAAGGAGCCTTGTTGTCAAGTTCTTGATGTGTTGTGTGTTTTGCAGTGTTTACAGAAGGCCTGATTAGGAAAGATCGTAACAATATAAAGAAAAAAACTAACCTTTCTAACAAAAAAAAAAAAAAAAAGATTCTTAACTATAATGAAGAATTTTTATAAATATTTTTTTTCTTTTCAATGAAATCTAAAAGCAACAACATTTTCATTTTGTAAGCCCATCATCAAAACACAAATACTTAGCCTTCAATTGATCTACAAATTTACATCTCCTCTTTATTTTACAACTATCACTAACATTAGATGACATCTTGAATACAAAAATACAAATTCTAATTATTAACACAGACATGACAACAGTGGGCATGCAACAATGATTGGTTGATAAGCATTTATCATTATATGTTATTTACTGCACTGGCATATAAGCTATTAATAGAATTTCATCCTTGATATCTTGGTCTAATAAAGAAAGATAGAAAGATTGACAGAAAGGCATGTGGTCACTGTGTTTGTATAAACTCCATATAATGATAACCCTATGGACATTTTAATACAAACATATAATAATAACACATATTGACTCTAGAGAAGAAGGAATATAAGTTTGATATCTTAGTGCCCTGACATAGCTTAGATTGTGAAGTTAATTCATTTCTAGTAAAATTTAATATTAAAACATTTTTGGGGCATTTATAACATTTCTGTCAACAATGTAGGCCATATTATAACTACAAACTTTCTTCATCAAACTTTTTTGAATGTAGACTGTAGTTTCTAAAGTATAGAAAATTATATTACCCTATACACCCTTGGTACATCTGGTAGCCTATAACGCAGTATTAGCACTGCAGCCATAGTTGCTCCATAGAATAGCCATGCAGCAAAACTAAAGAAATCAATGAGACTGAAAATGTCACCAGGGATCATCATCATTATAGCCACAGCTGTCTGAAAATAAAAACACACAAGAATTTAAGAAAATATTTCAAAAGATCTAAATGAGTTCTAAATGAGAGTTGGCAAGGTTTACTGATGCTAAAAAAAGTATTTTTAAATTTTCTTTTAAGAATAGTTTTCATCTAAACAAGAAATACAAGTTTATAATCAAGAAATTAAATCTCACAGTTAGCAATAGTGATGGTAGTGGAGTTCCTTTTTTGACATGAATGTATGAAAATACTTCTGGCAAATGTCCTTCCCTTGCTGCAGCATAAATAAGCCTTAGAAAAAATATTTTGCAAAGACCATAAAACAGCTTGAAGACAATAAAAAAAAAGTTGCATTCAGCAAACAAAATGCAATGAAGTAAATAGGTGAAACAATGCTCTGGTGCTTTTATTCTCTCAGTAAATAAGATATTAATGCAAAGATTTAGAAAACATGTATTTGAAAAGATATTAAGATTTTAATTGTTAGTTCCTCCCTTCTTGGATTGTAAGAATAATAGTCATTTAAACTTACAAAATAAAGTAATAAATTATAAAACTTTTTTTTCAAACCTTCCTCCAGTAAAACAAGATCCATTAGCAGCTCCAAATGTAGAGAGTGTTACAAATATTGGTATCAATACAGCTGCTGCTCCCAGAACTTCTGCACCC